CAGGCTGTCGAGGACCCTAGCAGTCAGGCTTGGGGTGCAGGCTGTCGGTGACCCCAGCAGGCCCCAGAGGCTGACAGGCATCCGTGTGTGTGCTCTCTCCTGGTGACCCTGCCCCCCAGCAATCCCGGCCTCCGAGAGCTCCCTCCTGAGCTGGGGCAGCTGAGCAACCTGTGGCAGCTGGACACTGAAGACCTGAACATCAGCAGTGTGCCCGCAGAGGTCAGGAAAGAAGGTGGGTCCTCCAGCGTCAGCGTCACGCCTGCTGGGAGGCCCCAGCCAGCCACTGGGACCCAGGTAGAGACAGCGGAGACCCTGGTGCACTGTCCCAGAGTCCGTGTTTGGGGACGCCGAGCATCCCAGGGTGGCAGTTGCCGAGAACCTTCTCATAGTCGACCCTTGCACAAGATGGGGTTAGGGCACTGAGTCCCACACAGTCGGGAGTCCTTGGGTGTCGCTTCATCGCCCAAAGCGTAACTGCTAACAACCCTCTGTGAGCAGGAGGCCTCACTGATGACCGTCAGTGGACACGTGTCCTGTCTCCTACACGCCTGACAGGCTGTGTTCTTACAGCGAGGTCAGCTAGAGAAAAGGTTACTGAGAAAGTCTGGAGGAAAGACATCTCTTTCAGCACACTTACAGCGCCAGACCGCATGATTCTTCCTGCAAGTAGTCCGTGTCCTCCGTTTACAGGATGGAGAGTCTTAGCAGCACGCCAATGCCATTGTGCGTGACGCGAAACACGGTTGTGGGGCTCATGTAGACATCAGACGTGACAGATAATATGAAAGAGAAACTGGCATCGATGTACAGGTTTAAGGTTCATTCCCTGGTGATGAAACCCCATTGGTGGCTGACTAGCAGTCATTTGGGGTGTCACCGATAGGGACGCTGCACCCCGAGTCTGCACCCCAACTCGCGCCCCGTTTCTCTGACAACCGTCATATTCCTAATCGAGTATTCACAACCTGCCTGACTCTTTACTTTTTAAATATTTGTGGACTGTGCCATTCGCCTGGGAGTTTTTCACACAGTTGTCAATCTCCAAATAATTTTGCATCATGTTTACTTTTTGAAAGCCGCATAGGTGGGATCTTGCATCAGAGTCTGCTATGCGGTATTGACCTTGTGGGGAGACGGTGCCCTCCTAGCTGGCAAGGATGGCATCCTGGGCCCTTGGCTTCGACCCCCCTTCCCCGGGACCTCGTGTCCCCACGCCCACACACACACACACCCTAGAATGCACAGAAGCTGTTCTTTCGGGCAGGTTCTGTCTCGGAGGGCTGAGCGTGTCCGCCTGCCCGTCCGTGTCAGCCACTTCCCACCCTGCTCTCACGCAGGCCCCAAGGCCGTGCTGTCTCACCTGCGCGCCCAGCTGCGGAAGGCAGAGAAGTGCAAGCTGCTGAAGATGATCATCGTGGGGCCTCCGCGTCAGGGCAAGTCCACCCTCCTGGACATCCTGCAGACCGGGCGGGTGCCCCAGACGGCCCATGGCGAGGCCACCGTCAGAACAACCAAGTGGGAGCTCCAGAGGCCGGCGGGCTCTAGAGCCAAGGTGGGGTGCACAGTCTCCAGGGTGGGGTGCTCCCCAGGCCTCTCCTCCCAGCCTCTCCAGAGGGGCCCAGCGTCTCAGCCAGGCCCGCTGCGGGGTCTGCATGCTGTTTCAGCCAGCCCAGAGCAGCTGCTAAGCTCTTCACGTGACCTTGTAGTTTCCCTGCCACACCTAAGCGCAGGCCCTGGCTGGCACTCCTTCGCTGTCTCTAGAGTCCTCAAGGAGCTTGGAAAGGCAGCCAGGCCTCCCGCCCTGGCCCTAAGGATTCTTGTTCAGATGGTCTCAGATAGGGCTGCCCCCCAGGACTGGAAAGGAATTACCTGTGGTTAAAGCACACCTGTGTCCGCACCCCACACCCACAGGGGGGCTGAGAAATCACCCCTGGAATAAATGCCCTGCCCGCCTTCCACCCAAAGTCGTGAAAGTCTAACTCTTAAAGCCCCGTTTACAGTTAAGCCTTCCGTGAATGTTCCATTCACTATTGACAAGTGAACAGGAAATCTGTCTTTCAACAGGAAATCTGTCTTTCTCCTAAAGGGGAGCAAGGGGCCGGTGGGCTGTTGTGGGGTGGAACAGAGCCAGGCCCGTGGGCTGTTTCTCAGCGCGGGGGGACGCAGCCCGGTGCCTCCTTAATGCCCCACTTCGTGCTCACACAGAGCCACCAGGGAGCCAGGTGCAGGGGCTGTTGGTTAGGGAAACCCAAGGGGCCTTGAGGCCACAGGGGGCCTGGGTCCCTCCCGGCCCCCAGCCCCAACCCAGTGCCTCTAGCTCAAGCTCTGCTGCAGTGGGCCCACGAGTCACTTGCCCATCGGGTAAATCCAGTTGCAGTAATTAGCCGCTGACCCGTACGTAACCAGAAACGGGTCCCGCTAAAGACTGGGACTGTCTTTGGGGACAGTAAAAAAAAAATGAGTCTCTATGATGGGAAACCCAAGGGGATTGCAACTGAGATGGGAGAATGCGCAGAAATATTGTAAAAATAGACTATTATTTTAAAAAATCAGTAAAAAGAAGAAAAGGGAGGGGCCTCTAAAGTAACCACAATCTGAGGGTTCTCGCCTTTTAACAAAACCGAGTCCTCAGGGTCACTTTCTCCTCCGTATTCTTTAGCAAACAATTGCCCAGTACGTAGGGATGAACTCTCCGCTTTTTCTTTCCTGCCATCTCGAATGTCCACTCCTCTGGCTGGAGGACAGCCGCCTGACCCAGGCAGTCACAGCAGCCTGTGGCTCCTGGCGGGCTGGGCCCTCAGCCGGAGAACAGCTGTCGTTCCTCGTCTTTCTCCAGACTCATCAGCAGGCTGTCTCCAAGCCAAGACACAGCAGCAGCGCCGAAACCATTCTTTGGTAGAAAACTGCAGCCTTAGCCTCTTGGGCCAGACTCTTACCTCATAGCATAAGAGAGAAACCACCGTTTACACAGCCGTTCCCGGCAGCCCAACAGCTGAGCTTTCTAAGATTCCCGAGGCAGGGCCGGCTCCCATCCTCCTTGGTGGGTGCTGCCCTTGGACCTGGAGGCCGGGCTCCTTGGCTCAGCCCCCACGCAGGGAGCTGGGCACGCCGTGAGCGCTGACGTCCGTGCTGGGCAGACGGAGGCAGGACCAGGCCCTGCAGTGAGGCTCAGACTCGGGGGGTTGGGAGGGCCTGGCCTCCCACTCCGTTAGCAGTAGACGGAAGCCCCGAAGCCAGCCTCTGGGCCACAGGGCCCGTTCCCCCTCCTCACACCTGTCCTTCAGATAAACAGGGAGATGGGCAAGCTTTTTTTTGTCTTTTTAGGGCCCCCAGAAGAACATTCACAGTGATCCACAGGCTGGGTCCAGCCGACCACATTTTTGGTTTCTTTTTTTTTGTGGTTTTTCAGAGACGAGAAACTTTATCACTCATGGCAATAACATTCGCTGTAATAGCAACACTTTCTTGTACCTCCAGCCATGACTTCTTTTATCATTACATGGATTTATTTTCTTACATCGTTATTATTTTTAGGGTCGTGTTTGATGTCTCCCCTCCAGTGTAGCTGTGTAGTTCTCCCACCACCCAGTCACCCATGAACCACCACCAGCCCCTTGTGCTCTTCCTTCCCCTGTTAGCCCCTCAGCTGCCTCTCCCCTGCTCCGTGCCTGAGATCTGCAGTCGCCTTGCAAGTTTTGTCATTTCCTGACACTTTGTCTGGTTTCCCTAGATCCCACCTGTAAGTGAAACCATCTGAAGTGTCTTTTTCCTTCTGACTTATTTCACTGAGCACTGTCCCTACCAGTTCCATGTTGCTGCAAATGGCATGAAGTTACCTTTTTGATTGCTGAGTAGTATTCCATGTGTATCTATAGCATATCTTGATCCATTCATCTCTTTGGGGGGCATTTAGTAGAACCTCGGTTTCTAAAAGCCTCCCTCTCGCTGCCTTGTTGTTCAAGTAGGTTGAGTCTGTGGAATTCAACGTCTGGGACATCGGCGGCCCCGCCAGCATGGCCACGGTCAACCAGTGCTTCTTCACAGACAAGGCCCTGTACGTGGTGGTCTGGAACCTGGCGCTGGGGGAGGAGGCCGTGGCCAACCTCCAGTTCTGGCTGCTGAACATCGAGGTGAGGGGCCCCAGCCCTTCAGTTCTCTGTCCTCAGAGCACCCCAGAGGTCCAGCCATGCTTCTGAAGTGTCCCTCTTTAGTGAGAAAAAAAAAAAAAAGAAATGGTTAGAAAGAAATGCCTGGCATTTGCTGTGTAAGGGGCAGAGGGAAGAGAGGCTTTCATAGAAGGTGCTAGTGTCACAGGCCACAGTGAAGCATTTAAACTCCCCTTCAGCCAGACAGTGGTGCACTTCTCCTCTTCCTTAAATTAAGAGGCTCCTCCTAGCTCTTGGACACAAAAAGGGGAGCAGAGCTCCCCACCCAAGTGCAAAGGTCATGTGGGCCTGAACGCAGGCCCTGGGTAGCTTTTACCCTGTCTAAAGGGGTCAGAATCCAGGAAGCGGTGGTGGGGATGCCCGGCCTGGGGTGGCAGGCTGCGGTAGGAGCCAGGACTCCCCTCTAGGGCTGCCGTTCTTGCCTGTGGGAGCTGGTGCCCGTCCTTCCCTCCAGGGGAGGGAGCGGGGCTCAGTCTGAGGCTCTCTTACAGGCCAAGGCCCCAAACGCTGTGGTGCTGGTGGTTGGGACACATCTGGACTTGATCGAAGCCAAATTCCGCGTAGAGAGAATCGCGACCCTGAGGGCTTACGTGCTGGCACTCTGCCGCTCCCCCTCCGGCTCCAGGGCCACCGGCTTCCCGGACATCACTTTCAAACACTTACAGTGAGTGTCCCGGGGTCCCCTGCTCGCTCCTGCCTCCCTTACTTGACTTATTCTGGGAACACAGATGACTCTTGGTCCGGGGGCCAGCATCCAGTTGGTGGCAATTGGGCCCCCAGAACAGAGCTTCCCTAAGTGAGGACAAGCAGACCTTCTCTGTGCCACCTTTGGGGCGTCCCTCCACCCCATGTGCTGGGCCCCCATGGGACAGGCCCTGCAAACCTGTGCCCCAGCCCTCATGGTCCTGGCTCTCTGTTCTCTCAATAGAACGGACCCTGGTGGCCCGAGAGGCCCTGGGGGGATGGGGGAAGAGTGTTGTGGATGGGAGTCAGAGTGGCTGGCGAAGGTGGCACCAGCTCCCGGGGCCTGTCTCTCTCCTGCCTCCTGTCTGCCTCCTGTCCTAGTGCCGCGTCCACAAATGATGAAACTGAGGCCCCCTGGTGGCAACACAGCGCATTGCTGCAGTTGTGCCTGCAGCAGGTGGGGGGTGGGGAGGGTAAGTTGTTGGTAGGAAGCTGGTGCTCTAGCCAGCCTGGGACACCTCCACCTGGCCCAGAACAGGCATCCGCCTGTGATCTTGAGCGTGTCCCCTGGGCTCTGTGATGATGGTGGCCCTGGCACCGGCTCCTTGTCCCCGTCCCTGTGTGTCTTGCCGCTGCTCTGTAGAACAGACACACTGGGAGCAGACGGGCATCTTGTGAGCTATTCCCAGCACAGTCCTCGGCAGAAGTAAGACCTCCAGGATCTTTCGTGTCCACTTTCCAGAAGTTCCCTCAGCTTGCCAGTGTCCAGGACGAAACTAAGGAAAAGAGGAAAAGAGCTGAGACAGAGAGGGGGGCGCGAGGGGCGGGCTGGTGATTCTGTGTTTGTTGCATGCACAGCGAGCTCTCCTGCAAGAGCCTGGAGGGCCAGGAAGGGCTGCGGCAGCTCATCTTCCAAGTCACCTGCAACATGAAGGACGTGAGCAGCACCATCGGCTGCCAGCGACTGGCAGGGAGGCTGGTGTGTACCTCGCTCACTGTTGGAACCGGGACAGGAGGCTGCTTCCCACCTGTTGGGGCTGCAAGGCACCCGCTTTCTGGGCCATGAGACACATTCGTAGTTTCTCCGGGCTCCGCAGTCCCGGTATAATCATTTTCCTGGGGGAAGAGACGGGACGGGGAAGTGGTAGAAGACAGTCCTCCTGCTCGGACTCCAGGAGGTAATGGGTGAGCCGCCTTGTCCCCTGCCCGTTAGATCCCCAGGAGCTACCTGAGCCTCCAGGAGGCGGTGCTGGCCGAACAGCAGCGCCGGAGCCTGGAAGACGATGTGCAGTACCTGACAGACAGGCAGCTGGAACAGCTGGTGGAGCAGACACCGGACAATGATATCAAAGACTACGAGGATCTCCAGTCCGGTGGGTGGGCAGGGGGGTGCCTAGGGCTACTAGCAACTGAGGGTGCAAACCGCACCCCCGGGGGGATGGGCTGGGGTCTCTAGTGGGTGGGCAGGGGGGGGCCTAGGGCTACT